AGTCTGATCTTGGCTCCTATGCTATCCCTAGAGTACCTCCAAACAAATCCACCTCTTCTAGAACATCTTTTTAGAAATAAACACTTGGATCTATTTTATAAAGCTAGAATGGCTCAAGAAAAGGCCTAAGGCATGCTCACGAGGCCTTTATATCCAATTAGCTTTATTGATATATATAGTCATGGCTGCGTCCTTAAATTCAGGCTTTTATGAATAAAACTTGAGCCAAGGATGATGGAACCAGAGGGTACAGTTGACTCAGTACAAACCAGTAGTAGTCAAATGACCCAAAACCTCACGTCCTTCGTAGGTGGACAGAATATTTCAATTATTTATCTATTCATCCATTTATGAAATACTTTTGTAGTATCTGTAATACCCTAGACTTTGAAGACATCATGATAAAAAAAGCAGACAATATGTTTTGTTTTTTAGCTTCTAGTCTTCTGCTTAAATTATGTAGGAAATCCATTTTTATATTATGCTTTAATATTAAGAGCAAGCACCAAACTCTCAGAAGGTCTCTATTCTTATCTCTTCAATAGCACCTACACTTAAAGTTTCCCTTTTCCACCTTTTATCTGGATTCTTTATCCACCGCTTTTTATCAGTAGCACCGCTTCCTGTGAAACCCCCTTCATTAGAAGCACTGGTTCTATGACAGCCTGGGAGGCTGAGTCTGCTCTCTGCTCACCCACAAATTCTCCCCGAGCCCTCAGCTCAGCAGCCTGTATCGCGCTGCGGGTCACGTCATCCACCTACCCTCATCGGATTCTTCCCTCATCAGATTCATGCAGCAGCAGTTCCTTACCCTGTGTGATTTTCGTAATTTATTAGTTGCAGTTGAATTTTCCCCTTTTCTCACCCCCTCTGCTGTCATTTGTCCAACTGAAGGTTACTCCCCAGAACTGTCACGCAAATCTAATAGCTGGTCCACAGTTGGTCCTCAACATTCCATTCTATTCTTTATCCTGATGGTTTATCTAACACTCTCGGGGTTTCTTTATCTTCCTTCTGCAGTCGAGGCTACCTCTCTACTTCAGCAACACACTTGTATGGATGTGCCTTGGCCTCTGAAGTCTAAAACTCCAAAATTTCCATTTTGACTACAACCTTTTATTCCTTCTCTATTTCTTCCTCCCTCACTCCCACTAAACCTCATTGTTGAAATAATTTTGAATTCTAGCTCCCTTGATCTGATTTAGTAGATTTATCTTCCCAAGTCCCTGTTGCCTACATTTTTTTTTTTTTTTACCTCCAAGTACACCATGTCCGTATCCCTCAAGCGTTCTCATCTCTCCATCATTCTGCTAAATGAAAACTTTCAACGTATGACTTACTGTGCTGACGATTCTGTTTCTGATTAGGTCTGCTACACCCTCCTAGAGAGAAAATAGATGATGTCATCGATTCATTTTATTACAAATTTATTATCCCTGATCTCACTCGATCTTGCTCAACAGTTTCTTTATTTTTCCCTGCCACTCCTGTCCCATAGGGAACACACCAAGTGTCCCTACTCTGCTCAAAGCCTCAGCAGATGATCCAAGTCCTTATGTCATTGAGAAAAAAAAAAAAAAAACTTTCAAGTAAAAATGTTCTTATATCGTACCTATATCTTCACCCACTGTTTTTCCTCTATCGAAGTGGCAGACATATTTCTTCTGCATCACTAGGTTAATGCTTCTGCCTATATTTTTGGTCCCATTTCCTCCTGCATCCTTGGGAATTTCGTTTCATTGTACAGTTTCATTCTTTCCATCTCCATTTTTTACCCTTTCTCCGCGTAAGTTGCACACACGCAGCCCCCAGACATGTTTATTATTTCCCCTTTCTGAAAAAAGCCTGCACCACCCACTTTTCTCTTTGCCGCCTTTTACTGTCTTTCCTACCCAGCTTATTGAAATAAGTCTTATTTTTCACCTCTGCTACTTTATCTTTCATACTTTATTACCGACTACAATTTGACCTCGATTCCTTCTGACCTGACATTTTCAAAGGTCACTGGGGAAAAAAAAAATCCTATTTCCCAAATCCAATGGCTTCTTTGCTATCCTCATTCTTTGAATCTGGGTATGGTATTTAACAATAGTGGCCACTTCCTCTTTCTTGAAAGTCTCTTTTTCAGCTTTGAGATATTCTGTTTCTTTTCTTCCTGTCTCCTTTATTCACCCCCTTTCTCTCCTCTTCCTCTGTCTGTCTCTTAGTCGTTGTTGATCAGAATTCCGAATTCTGTTCTCTTCTTGCCCTTCACTCTTTCTCGGAGCATTTCCAATGGTTCGCTCTCCAGCTCTCACTTATAGACCCTAAAACATGTCTTTGACCCTCCCCTAGACTTCTCTTGAGCTTTAGATCCACACTTCTAGCTGCTTCCTAGAAATCTCTTCCCACTGTCTCGCTCCTAAAGATATACCTGAGGTCTAATTTAGGACTTGTTATTTCTCCTTTGCTTCTCATCACCTCAGTGGAAACTGAAAATCCCTGTTCCTCTTCCTGCATTCCCTTTCCCTATTACTGATCCCCTCATTTTCTCCATGATCTCATGGAAAACTCTGGAATCACCCTGACTCTGACTCCTCCTTCACCCCATTGAATCCATTGGTCGAGTCCTCTCAATTCTATCTCCAAAGCATCTTTTTATTTTCTCCACGTCCCCTCTGACCCTCCTCATCGAGGCATCGCTGGCTCTTTCACAGACTCACGGGTGGTGTCCGTGGGTCCTGGCTCCCTTCGCTCTAGAGCGCTCTTACTCCTTCTCTCAAGTTGTACTTTTTAACAGTCTGACCCCAATGACGCTCAATTACTATGCGCTGGAAGGAATTTTTCACTGAAGAGTTATTCCCCTCCAATAATAAATGAGTTGCTAGCGTACAGGTGACACTTGCTTTTATTGGAATCATCACCTTTTAGAATATTTTTTGACCTCTGGAGTTAGTAGAGGATTCATCAAGGACACTTTAATGTCTATAAGCTGTAAAATAGGAAACTTTAGTATGAGCGAAGGAAACTCTGAAATCATCTTTGATTCTTATTGTGACTATTCATCAGTCTTGTCTTCCATCAGAAAAACAAGAGAATGATGCCCACCATAATGATCAAGGGTGAACTCTTCTGAGTTGTTCTTTGGGAAAGCTTTCAGAATCTTTCTTTGGAGACTTTTAGAACTGTGTCCTTGATCATGCAAACCTTAGAAAGAAAAGTGTAGAACAAATAGAATAGTTTCATTCATTATTAATGTCAGCAATTGAGAGTTGATAGTTGTGATTCTGACTTTGGCTTTGGGACATAGTCTACATAAATAGAGCAAAGCACTAGAGTCATAGTGGTCCTGAATTTTTCTTAGAGTTTATTTACCATGTCAAAAAAAAAAAAAAAAAACCCTGAATGTTAAACAATGTATGAATTAATTATGGAATCAGAATAAAAATCAGTGTTTTGACTTTGAGTTCTCTATCGAGTTACTTAGTAGCATCCTGTACTATCGCATCACCTTAGATTACAATAATATTGGGCCAAAGAATGTAGTGAAAGGAGAGCTTTATTCTGAATGAGGAGATTTAACATCTAGACCTGGAACTGATTCCGTCAACTTGGTTGTTGTCATTAGCGTGTGTGTGTGTGCGTGTGTGCGTGTGCACGCGCGCACGTGCACGCATGTGTGTCTTATACTGTAGGTATATCTCATATTAGTGAATGTGAAAGGGATTTAAAATAATTCCAAAATAAGTATTTTTTACAATTCTTTGAATTTTGAACTGGTCCTGTAGGATATAGTGTAGATAACTGATGTCTCCTTCAAAATGTATGTTTGACATTCTTCAGCTTAGAAAAAAGTCATGTCCAGCACTTCATGAATTACTACCAGTATGTTTAGCTCGAAATCAGGTCATTTAGTTTCTCTTCTATTAAAATGAAATGTCATGATGAGAATGTGGTATAGCATTGACCTTACAAAAGACTTGAGAATACTATCTTTGTGGTAAAATGAAACAAACCTGTCCTGTTGCAAACAGGTTTCAGAATGTACAGTAGCCAGTTTTAAGATCCACTGACTCACAGTGTTGTTAATTTATGTCTGCCAGTGACATTGTTAGACATTGAGTCTTTGGGTGTGTCGATGAAGAAATACGTAGAGGAACTGTATAATTTTTGTATAATCAAATGTGGCAATATCAGCATGTAACACAAACCTTTATCATAATTTAGTATTTTTTTATGATTCTCCTAATTATTCAGCATTAATAGTGCAAATGCCAGCTTATTTTCTAATTGGATAAGCTTGCTTTTTTTCTTTTTTTAGATAATGGAAAATTGGTTTTTTTTTTTAATGGATTGTATTTCATTACAAATGAGATGACAGCCACTTTATAGAAAGACTAGATTACATAAGAAAATTTTCATGTGAATCATTGAAGACAGAAATGTCTGAAGAGACTTCATACTCAAGTCTTCTGAGGGTCAAAACAATATATAAATTTGGAAGTCAACACAAGTTCACTGGCTCAGAACTTAAATGAAGTTAACCCAAACTCAGCATTGCTGGTTGGTGCCGAAATATTTGGAATGGAATTGAAAACTTGATTCTTAGGTTTTTAAATGTAATATGTTGCATAAACACATTGTAATATGTTCCCCTTGAAGGTGGGGAGGTGACAGCCTTTTGGCCCAACTGTGACATTATGCTGACCCTAGCAAGTAGCCTGAACCAGAGAATGTATAACGAGGTAATATTTTTATGGACTGACATAATTATTTTAGTGAGTTTTTAAGACTTTTAATTAAACTTTTGATGATCTCTCCATATACTCCTAAGAAGTGGGAGTTAAGGATAGGTCAAAGTATACAACCCTGTAAGCAAGTGTGTTCTCTCGTGGCTGTTGTTAAACAAACATATTGTTTCCTTGCACCAAGTGCTTTAAGCTCACTTTCGTGGTTTTCATAAGGACTTTTGAGGGCCATTATCTTCCTTTGCCAATCCCTTAAATATAAACACCTCAATATCCAGTGAGGGAAAGTTTATTTATTAAAACTGAAATGGGGAATAAGAAATTTCATTACAACAAACGAGTCTTTCAGTGGAGAAAAATCTAGAGGGAAATTTGCCATTAATTTTTAGGCTAGTCAAGTCATAGCTCTTTTAACTCATGGGGATTTCATCACTGCTCTTTAGAAGTTTTTACCCAGTCCAGGAACGTGTCTTTCTTCGGCGTTGGCAGTCTGGGCTTTCTGCTTCTTAAATGCCACTCTCATTTTAGTCTTTCTAAAGGAACTACTGGCTCCGTATCTTCTCAGTTACCTCAACACATATTTATCCTTTTCCCTCTGAAATGGCAAGCAGACCACAACTGAGACAATGAAGTACCATTCGATCTTCATTAACCAGAAGAATCATCTTCTTTCTTCACATCCTCACTGTGCCCCACGCTAAGAGTGGTGTTCTTCCAGCCCCTCAGGTCTCAGAGCTGAAAGGCCAACCTAGAACTTCAGAGAGTCTCTGAGATCACTTTTCTCAGTGGCTCAAGGTGAGGTGGCTTTCTGCTCCCTTGAATGGAGTCACTAACCGCAGTGCAAAATTAGTTCGAGCTGAAATGAAACAGCATGTGTTCGTGGTTATTTGCCTAAATGGCTGAACTGCACAAGCCTAATGTCTGAATTACCCAAGATAAACTGATTGGGGTTTTTTTTTGTTGTGTATTTTAGGAAAGTTTCTAATCAAAGAATTTGGAATTCTTAAAGAGCACTAAGAGTTGAGTCCTTTGGGGATATTTTCCTGATGGTTAGTAAAAACTAGTTATCTTTCTAAAATTGGAGAATGTTTTCCTACTGCCTCAGGGGCTTTGCATGTGATGTTTAAAATGCTATCTTTCACCCCCATTGTCCAATTCACTTTTCTGACACTTAAGATTCAGCTTATATTCTCCTACATCAGGGATGCTAACCCACAACCCCTCGGCATGAGTCTGGATTCTTGTTCTATGCTCTCCTAGATTTTTGCAAGCATTTAAGACACGTACCACAAGCGAAACTTACACATTTTCGTACATGTGATTAGGTTTTAATGTGTCTCTCCCGCTAAACTCTAAGCACTGTCTGATTCGCTAACTACAAACAGTTGCTAGTTCCTAGTCAAGTCCTTTTATATACTGCAGATATTCAATGCATATTTTTGACTAAAATATAAGACCTAATGTAGGAATGGAATACATTCCCCCAGAAATTAGTCTGTGCTTTCTTAATTGTAAGCTATGAATTTCTAATGGCTAATTTACTCCAGATCTTTCTATATTCCAGGATACGTTTGTCCTAATCCATGAAAACCACACTTCAAGTGTTTCCGGTGACCTACTCACTGCACAACTGTGTATAGCTTAAATACCACTTCAAACCTTTGAACCCCAGTATAGCTTTGCACATAGCGAACTACCATCAACATCCTTTTGGACGTTGCCCTCTATGGCAAAACTGTCTGTGCTTGATTTCTCCATTTCTGGTTGCCCAGACAACTACGCATGTTAGAGACTATCTTAGGTTGGATCTCTCAGATCTCATTAAGGGATTGAGGAAAATAGGATACAGGGAAGGGTGGGAGTCAAGCGAGGGTGCAGATTCAGGCAGTGTCCCCTAGAGAGCATCTTTGTTCTGATCCCATAGAACTCCGGGGTGTGGGTACAGAGAGAGCTGGACTGTCACACTCCTGCCCTGGTCAGTCATTGGCTAATGGTGGTGGGGGAAGTCAACTTCCCAGGACTTTTTAGCTTTCTCTCTTTGCAGGAAAAACTGCCCTAGTAGCTAGAGAAGTATCAGAGGGGGGTGTCATATGTGGTCAGTAAAAGAAAAACACACAGAAGCTGGGGAGGATGCACAGAAACGTGAGAAACGATGGTAGGGGATCTGAGAAGAGTTCCAGCAGTGTCCACTATAGAAGCTCTACCTCAGACCTACTCTCTGGCAAGGTAGATGACCAACTCTGTGCTCGGTTGTGTATTGTATGATTTTGGATTCAACTGTCATCTGTTTGCTAAAGACATGCGAATCTACTTGTCCTTCCCCGATTGTCACTGATTCCAACACAGCTCTTTAAATATAAGCTGGAGGTACCTAGCACATGATCACTGAAAGGGAGAAATAAGGAAGAAGAAAGAAAAGTCAGAAAAATATCTAGTGTCAAAAACAACAAACTAAATTAAATGACCTGACCATGCCCCTTGCCTCACCCTGTCTGCTTCATGAGATGCTGAAAAGCTATCATGCAATTTGGCCTCAGAGGAAAAGTTGTTTGGGTCTTGAAATTCAAGAGTAATTCACAGGCATGTACCTGATTAACTGGATAATCCCATTAGAATTTCATATTTGGCAAAGAGAAAAGCACACAGACATAGTTATGGCTTTTGACCAGCAATACAAAACAGTTCCAAAGCCTGGGAAACAGGGACCTTAGAGGAGAGTCTTGCAGGAAAATGTCCAGTGCCAGCATGCAGGTAGGCCGAAGCTTTCTAGAATGGCAACAGATTAGAAAAAGTGGTGGGAGTGGATGGGACAGGTGCAAGCAAAGGAACCCAAAACCCTGATAATATTTATCTTGGCTCAGGCTTCTTAATGACCATCAAATGAAATTGCGTTTTATAAATTTACTTTGACTAAGACATAAATTAGAAGTCCACTGCTAAAACTAAATAGAGGATTGTTTCAATGACATTTTTACAAGGGCCTGTTTTTGCCGAGTGTCAAGACAGGTCGAGGCACATAGTTAGGGAGATGGCGATGGAGGGGGACATCCTGTGGGACAGCATTCCATTCACATGAACTCGGTACCGTGGCAGTGGAAAAATCGGTTACACAAGGTCCAGCATGCTCTGGCCCTCAGGGCTCCAGCGGGCACGCTAGCTTCTCCCCTTCGCTGCCAGGCGCAGGTGCGCCCACTGAGTGTGCTGAGTTCCCTCCATCTTTGCTCTTGAGTGCCTGCCGATCTTCTCAGAGCCCAACGCGACCAGTGCCTGCCCAGGGGGAAAGAGGCAACGCTGACTCTTCTGCCTTCTGGTGACCTACTATCTGCTGGGGCCAAGGTTTCTTTAGCTGTTGTCAGCATTCAGAAGCCATCCTTTCCTTTTCTACCTACAGGGACTAATAATCGCTTTTTAAACTATTGCTTCCTTCGTGTATTCACCAAACATCCTGCTCTCAGACCTGGAGCCAAAGGCTTGCTGAGAACCTGCCTCCAGTGTCACCACCTTGACTTTTTTTTTTTTAGAAAAACTAAAAGAAGTTGGCCGTGTCTTTCGATGGAAAGCCAAGGAACTAGGTACATTGCTTGCCCTTATGGTAAGGCTTCAGATTCTTTGTGACTGTACTTTCATCCTTGAGAGATAAAGATGCTCTCGTAGAATTGAATGAAGCATCTTATGCCACTGCAGATTTTTATAATTGCCGTCATTACTTCCCTTTACATACTGACAAAAATGTGTGTCGTCGCTCAAGAGACCTCCAGGATATTCTTGTAGATTTTCTGTTCTGGTTTTTATCTGGTGAAAATTGATTCCTACGGGACTGGGGCTTTTACCTAAAATCCACATTACAAAACGCACGTAGAGCTGGGCCATGGAGAAATGGTGAGGGTGCCTTGCCGGGCCGAGGGAGTAGGGAGAATAGAAAGGGATTCGGACTGCTGCTCTCGGCTCAGCACCGTGAGTGGAACGTGAATTCAACGGGTTTTATTCTGATACCAA